TGATTTCAGGTACTAAAGATTTTTATTACATGTAGAAGGTGCTTGTGTGTTCTTCCCTTTGCACTAATGGTGGTCATCTTGAGTACACTACAACATTTACAACTTCTAAAATGGAAATCAGACAGGGCCCATTGTTGCTGCCCGTGTTGTTTCTGCTAAGTGGGAGGTGAAGTTTGAGTAAAGCCTGGGCTTCTGGCTGGGAGGGGAAGCGAATGCAGGCTGAAGGAGTCGCCCCTCTTCCTGCCAATAGAATGTCTGTGCAGAGCAGATGGGACATATGGCCTTCAGCACACAATACCAGCGAGCAGCGCAGGGCAAGATAATAGAGATGGAACAAAACCGTCTCAGAAGGCAACCGCCACAGGCACGGCTCCAGCTGCTGCTTTTGGGAAAGTCTCAGCATCCTCTTTATGCTGCCCTTTCCCAACAGTTTGTAGTGCTACACGTTTAAAAACAAACACAATAAAGTGGAATCTGGATCTCTTTTCTTGCAGCCACTCCGTTTTTTAAAGAGAGCACTGAATGATTTGGGTGACCCATGTAAACAAGAGTGCTTATGAATGCAAATCTGTTTAGCATTCGGATGCTGAGTGAGAGAAAGAAAGAAGGCATAATCTAATTGAATCCTCTGCATAAACCTTACTGAAATGAATAGAAGCTTTTAAATGTCACAAACACTTCACTATATGATACTGGGAGGCTTATTGTAAGGTATGTTACACATACACACACCTGCTTTTTCCCCTTAAACTTCATTTTATTTACAATGGAAACACAAGTTGTAGCACAGATTAGTCTTGCTGTCCTGCTTTCTGCCATTAGTTCCAGAGTGAAAAAAACTGAATGTTTTCAAATCAAGCCATCTGCTTTGTATTCATGTATCATTTATACCCATCAACTTTCTTCCAGAGAAGGGAAGGTTAGGAGAAAAAGGTTAGCAGTTAGTTAACTATTGGTGTATCCAGAAATTTTAATTCAGTTACATTTAAGTTCAAAGAACAAATTTTGAACAGTTCAGCTGATGCTAAAATTTTAAGCTGAACTTTGGTAACTATGATAAGCTCTTAATTAATAAAAATAATTGTGCTCTGTCAAGTCAATGCACTTATGGTGACCCTTTTCAGGGTTTTTTTGAGAGGCAGTACTCAGAAGTGGTTTACTATTCCCTTCTTCTGGGGCCACCCTGGGACTGTACAGGCCCAAGGCCCCACAGGCTTGCTTTACTTACAGGAGGCACAGTGAGGAATAGAACTCAGTCAGGCAATTGTATTTGTATCCTTGGGGATACAAATACAAATATTGGCACCACAGGTGTCGTGGTGATCCAGCCCTCCCCATCCCCCAAGCTGGCCAGTCCACTCTGGTTGTTGCATAGTGTGCATGGCCATTGTCCAGATTGTTGTGCAAGTCATGGAAGCAGCCCACTCGGCAGTTCTCTGCCTCCCTGAACAGCCAATGGTTCAATAGCTGAGTGGGGAGATTCTTCATCCTGCCTCTTCATCAGAGTGGTTGGCTGTGTGGGGAGGCAGGGAAGCACTGGCCACGCTGCTTGTGATTCTTGCAACAACATGGACGATGGCTATGCACACCGCATGTCAACCACTGAGTGGAGTGGCCAGCTCCAGGGGAGAAGTGGATGGATATCCCTAGCATCCGTGGTGCTCATATTCGTATTTGTATCTGTGCCTCCTGTGAGAAGAACAAACCCAACTCTACTCCCAACCCTGCAACCAGATACCTAATGCACTATTCAGCCCCCCTGATAAAGCCATTATCCTACTCCACCCATTCTGAGCTTTGTAGAGAAGGAACCGCTACATGAATTTTTGAAAAAAATATTCGCTATTCAGCCCATCCAAACTGTTTCCTTGATTTGCCTTTCTTCCATCCTTATAATTATCACTCTTTTCTCTCTGCCATTTAAACATGCTTATTCCCAAGTGTATCCCAGGGAGTCAAAATTCAGTTTCCTGGAACAAATGAAATTTAAGTAATGCCTAGCATAGAACACACTGTCTTTTAAACCTATTGGTTTAAATTTTTTTACATTTGCACTAAGACTAAATGAAATAATGAAAATGACCAGTTTGCTCTTATACATTTAAAATTCTGCACTCTGTACATGAACCAAGGCACCACTTTCAGTGATCACTAGGACTTATTCATTGTGAAAGCGTGCATAAAACTACAGTTGCTTATTAGTAGAAACTAATGCAGGTTTATTTAAAAACAAATCCAACCATGTTCTTATTCTGATGTATAGTTTGGTTTAGTTTGTTCTCAAAGAAATGAGTGTGCCTCAGCATTTGATTATGCTGATGTATGATCTGTATTGTGGACAAGAAGCTTCCATTAAGACAATATGGAGACAGAATGGTTTCCTATAGGCAAAGGTGTCAGATAAGAGTTCATTTTATCCCCTTATCTGTTCAAACAGTACACAGAACAAATTATACAGAAAGCCAGACTAGATTCAGAGGAAGGAGTGAAAATTTGTGGAAGAAACATCAGTAATTGAAGACATGCAGATGATTCCACTTTATTGACAGAAAGCAGCAATGGCTTGCTTTTGGTGAAAGGGAAAAACAAGTGCCAACACAGAACTGCAGTTGAACATTAAGAAGACACAAATCATGACTACAGAAAAACTACACTTTAACACTGACAATTAAGAAACTAAAATCGCATACAGTTTTGTATACCTTGGTTCAAGCATTAATACAAATGAAGAGTCCAGCCACTCAGCAGAAGGCTAAGACTTGGAAGGGCAGCAATAAAAAGAATTAGAAAAGATAATCAAGCATATAGATGTGTCACTGGGGACCAAAGCCAAGGGCATCCACACTTTTGTATTCTGATCACTATGTAAGTAGTGGTACTCTTAACTACTTATGTATATGGGTGTAAAAGCTGGCCACCAAGGAAAACTGACAGGAAAAAAATGATTTGTTTGAAATGCAGTGCTGGAGAAGAGCTTTGCAGATACTCTGGACTGCCAGAAAGATCACAAGTGGATCCTAGAGCAAATGAAGCCTAAATGATCTCTGCACACAAAAAATGATGAAACTGAGGCTGTCCTACTTTGGGCACATCATGAGATGGACAATAATGCTGGGAAAGGTGGAAGGCAGCAGGAAAAGACGAAGACCAAATATGAGATGGAGTGACTCCCTAAATTCCTTGTGTTTGCAACAGCTGAGCAGGGCTGTTGAGTACAGGCCATTTTGGAGATTGTCATTCATAGGATCACTATAATAATAATAATTTAATCTTGGAAATGCACAGCAGGAAGGGACTCTATGGCTCTTCAAGTCCAACCCCTCTCCGTCAGGGAGGCACAACGTGGAATCAAACTCCGAACCTCTGGCTCCGCAGCCAGATGCCTAAGCCAACTTGGAGACAACTTGATGGCACACAGCAACGAAGTTTGTTTATTCATGAGTTACATATATAATATATATTTTCTCCAAATATTTTTATTTTTCTGTAAAAGTTTTTTTCTAGTAAAATAATACCTCTGGAGATACTCTGCACCATAAGAGGAAGGCTGTGATTAGAAGACGCATAAAACTGCAATCCTACCCCCATGCACCTGGGTATAGGACTGGCTATAGCTCTACTGGATATAGAGGACAAAGCACAGCAAAATTCCAAATCAGGAAGTCGTATTCAATTGTGTATGAACAGTGACACCTAGAGACCAGAAATGATTAAAGGGCACTTCTGCCCATTTTTCACTATTTTGCTAAGTCTGGATAGCTCCTCAGTCCAATCCACTGATTATTTTAATTCCCCAGCCAACAAAGCCATACTGAATGTGGAATCCTGTGAGTTATACTAAAAGAAGTGACTCTTTGAAGTTATAATCTTGATGTGCAGGGAACAGGGGCTTAACATTCCCCACTCCAATCCGTGCAGACTGGGGAGGTACTGAGGGAGAGGGAAAATCCAGATCCCTGTTTCAGTCTGCTTTGGCTCATGTTGCCACATGGGGCTCTTAGGACCACAGACCCCAAGACCCTTTCTTTTATGCACTGCAATCACTGTGGAAAAATATATGCATATAATTCAGATATAATAAATATAGGAGAACATCTAAAAATAAAATTTGCTTTATTTACTGATTTTCTAAAAAGCATGTAATAAAAATTGTGACAAAAACAATATATTGCACAGTATACAGAAAACATTGCTTGCAATTGGGAGAGCCACATTATCAACAAATTCCTTTCATACTGGCTATGTATCTTTAAGCTAAAACCGTGTAAAACAAGTTTGGAGAAAGCTGATTTTAGTATCTTCTCCAAAACAGAGACCTGCAATTTTACAAAGTCATATGAACATTTAAAAAAAAAAAGGGGGGGTAAACACATTAAAGTATGTCAACATTAAGACACCCAATATCGCCTCTCTAAACTGTGACACTCTACATATGGTAGAGATGTCTATCAAAATTTTAAAACTCATAAGGCCCTATTCAAAGTACTCAACCACTCTTGTTGCAATCCAGCAAATTCTTCGTGAGATTTCTGTCTTTTAAAACAATACAAAATATTAACTTTGCATGCTATCTAATAAAATTGATTTTGATGCTTTCATGAGTTTTCAGAATATTTTGTTATCGAATGAGATGAAAGCTGCTAAAACAAACAAAAACAAATCCCTGCTGATTCTGGAACAAATTGTATGACATTCTAGATTATGGCCTTTATTTATTAGCACTGAGAATGCTTCGTGTGATTTAAATACAATATATAAAGTCTGTGTATAAGTGTAGAATCAGGATTTATGTTATCAAATGAATAAAACATCACTTCTCAAACTGACTGTGTAAGATTTAAAATAGTTCTAAGCATAACAGTATGCACAATATGATGGTGTGCCAGTAGTATTACTTATATACAAATATTTATTTAATTAACGACTCAAAATGCACCTAGGAAAAACTGTATCGGGATCCAAACTTACATGAATACAAGTGTACTACTTCTAAACGGTATCAAGTGATCTGAGAGAAGGGTGTAGAAGAAGTGTGCACTGAAATGTTATTTATCCTTCTATAACACAAATTAGAAGATAACAAAAAACATTCACAGGATTAACTTGAAAAGAATACAGGTTTTGTTCTGGACAAACTGCTGTTTTAACTAACTGATCATGAGATGTAGATTCAGATTCCAAGCTGGCTATAAACAAGCAAGAAATGTTCAGAAAAACAAGAGTATATCCATATCTTTGGCTTTTCTTGCTTTGCTGTTTGTCCTAATTCAGCTATTCTTTCATAAACTTAGTCTGGATTCTTTGTCTCAATGGATAACTGCACAAACTTTGTACAACAGTTCTTGTGCCACATTCTTAGCATAGCAAAGTATAAGATAGTTGTGTGAAACGGCGATACTTAAATTTATATCTAGTTATATAAGAGTTATTTCTGAAGCAGTAGCTAACTCCTAAAATCATCTTCTAAACTACTGAGCTATAAATATTTTCTTTACTACACTGCTACATCAATTTTCCAACTAACTCAGAAATTAACTTTTTAGACAAAAGTAAAGAAAATCTTCAAACGTTTCTAAAGGTAAATATAAGGTAGATAGATGTTGGAAGTAAATTAAGGCTTCAGATACATTTGGCCTCCTCAATGCATTTTACTTTTCTTCACACTACTAACTTTTTAAAAATAAAATTAAAAAATTAATAAATAAAAGTAGGCCTCATCTTATAAATAAAATGCTCACTTATCGTGTATTAGTAAGCTATAGACAAAGCAATCAAAGAACCAGTGGAGTGAAAATTGGTTGTTATTCAGCTGGTAAAATAATCTTAATTCATCTGACCATGCAAAATAAGGTATTTTTAAATTGCAATGTGATCTCATCATGATGAGCATTATCTTCTTCAGAGTTCAACTCCCTTGTTTAACTGAGATAAAAATTCATGGATAATTTATGTGTTTAGAACCATAAGCTACTGAAAAACATAGCATGGTTACTTTCCAGTGGCAAAAAGTGTGAGATTTTTTTTTAATGCATGCATGTTTTTAACAAAGTGAACAGATATTTTCACACTGTAGAAAAATGGAAATACTGTAATTTCCTTTAACATTAGTAAATCAGAATACCTCCAAGTAACAGATAAAGTCAGGTTTGTTTAATAAGTGAAACTATTGTGTAATGTGTAGGATTATACAATCATTCATTAAAGATTACTTCCAACTAAAAAATAAAGAAGTAAATTATGTACTACTGAACATGGTATTTGGAAAGAAATCCACAGATGGCATAGTATTTTTCAAATTCTTTAACATATCCAATCATGATTTGATGATATTCTCTGTATCTTAAAGGTACTGTATGTATTTCAGAAACTGATGTTTTTTAAAAACATTGAATATATAAATCTTCGGTGACAGCTGCCAGAAGGAATGCCCCATTCAAACAGATTAATCACAAATGACCTTTTTCTAGAACAAAAAAATGCATTTGGTTGATATTATTGAGATTCATTTCACAAGAAACAAGCATAAAAACCTTTAAGATCTAACTGCAAGTTAAGAGCAGATATTAATGAAATTGATCTCCATGAATTAGAAATTTTCATTGATAATTTGGTTCAATGTAGACAAACTATTCTCCACGCAGGCTTCACTCATTTCACTAAATTCCATTTCATGGATTTCTTCTTCATCTTGTGCATAACATTTGTTACTGATATTTTCTTCACAATAAATACACACCTTCAAAGAAAAAGAAAAACATCATAGTGCCTATTAAGTGGCATCTTGTAGTTTTATGATTTCCAATTGCCTATTTATGAAGGGGATATGCAGGTATTTCATTTAGTAAGGCTGTAATTCAACACATATTTAGTTAAGTGAGTGTCACTTACTGTACTGGGAAGTTGATTCGACTGCATTGTAAACATAGTACACAGTGTGATGTTTTAATATGGTGTATCTCAGAAGAAGATAGCATACAGATTACATGCATCCTGCCCAGGCTGCTTTGTAGGGCTCTCACCACTCTTAAAACTGCCAACAAAATTCAGTGGTGAAGTATGTGTGGCCTACAATGGATCCTAGCAAGATAAAATCACCCCTCTCACTAAATATGTCCACCTCTCCTCTAACTGTAACAATATCATAGAATCATAGAATAGTGAAGTTGAAAGGGGTGTATAAGGGCATCATATCCAACCCCCTGTTTGATGCAGGGATACAAATCAAAGATATCTGCCAGGTGGTTGCCTAAGTTTCTCTTGAATGCCCCCAGCATAATATAATCACAAAAGTCATTTTTAAACCATGAACAGCAAGGAAATATTCACTGCTATATTCAAAGAAAAATAATAGTTGGGACATACAGCGTTATCTATGGCCTCAGGAAGTCCACCTTTCTGAATCCAAGGATGAACATCAAGCAACTCTCTTTTTTGATCCTCAGTAAACTTAGGTTGGGACTTCTGCATTTGTTTCAGTTTCAATCTGTCCTCTTTTAAAACAGCATCTACATTTCTAAAGTAAAACATATAAACAATTCACTTTAATTCTTCAGAGAGCCAAACATGGAGAGTTCATAAACAGTTGCAGGCAAAATGTGACAGAAAATTTAGTTCAGTAGAGTGGCCAAAATCCTATTGCCAGAGTAAAATAAATTGCATAACTTTTCCTGCAAATTATGAAATCAGTGTAGCCATTATGTTTGGTGTGCCAGTTTATGCAACTCAGTGTATAACGAATAATGTCTGCATGGGAAAGTGGTAGTCATTACCAGGGGCAGGTCCACCTAAATATTATTTGATAATTTTCAGGAAAGAACTTTCTGCTGAAGTGCCAATCCTGCTGGCAGCAATGTTTCACTTTTAAAGGTTCCTGCCCCATTTCAAGACTCCAAAAGACTTCCTCACCATTCTAGCGATGTCTGTCATCATCCAACCTTGTTATACCAGTAGCGCAAATTAAATTCTGCTGATCAGCATATTTTCATACTATGTGCATGTAGCTTGCCTAGGGACCACAAGAATAAATATGTTGCTATTTGTACTACTGGCAAACCACAGGAGTTCTATGAATGCACTGTTTTCCTCTTCTGGCTCTGGCTGGCAAAAATTGTTGGCCCATAACTAAGTTATAATCTTGTAGTTGTAGTCTGATCACTGGAGAATTCCTGCATTAACTGCTGAGCAATGTCACCATTCAGGTTTGGTAATGTATTTAAAATCTTTTTAATGTGTGAGGTGCACAATTCAGTTTTAAAAACATTTTCATTGAAAAAAGGAGCAATAAAGTTTAGAAGAACTGAGTATATTTCTATTTGTAATATAATATAATATAGCCAAAATCCTCTTGCATAGCTATGCAAATAGCAAAACTGCCATCACCAAGAGAAAGGCAGCATGCAAATCAATCAAACAAAATAAACTTTTTGAGGTGAATAGCACTAAGTTAAGAAATCTCTGTAAACATTATCCGTGGCACACTGACACATGCAACTCACTATGTAACTGATGCCTATTTTGATTTCTGAACTTGGGGCAACTCCAAAACACAATTTGTGCTATGCCAGTCTAAGTACGTAAGATGATCTGAGCCGATAATTGTTTGAAATGGCAATTCACACTGACTTCAGAATTTAGACAGCTTTTTTTAAAAAATGGATTACCGTGGTGGTATTTGGTAAGTCATCATAACAGCATCATCTGTATTTGCCATCAGCAGCCAAATAGGATCCTGGAGGACATATTTAATGAACTGTTCACTTTCTTCCATTTCAGGACCTTTTGTTTTATGATTGTTTTCTGAGGAATCAATGCTCCCAAAATATTTGCTGCTATGACTTGTCTCGCTACTTCCTTTTGGAATAAAAAAGTATGTTTTAAATAATGGAGACCAGATATTACTTTTAAAATACTTCTGCAGATTACCAATTGCAGATATAATTGTTACCTGTTCTTGACATATTACATCCATTTGAACCAGATCCTAAAGATTCTGCAGCTGCTGAAGCACCACTTCTTGATGAAGCAGAACCAGTGCCTGAACTGGCATCTTCTTGAAGTAAAATATCAAGTACATCACTAGATACAGAGAAGGCATCACAATTTTGAGCTTCCATTGGAGATTCCGCCTTAACAAAAAGAAAAGAAAAAAAAGAAATAAGTCTAAAAGTTTATGGAATGCCCTTTCTGTCAGAATAGGTCAAAATACACTGCACACATTTGAGTGAATATGATGGGCTACAGGTAGAAAAACGTATCAGAATCATCACTACTAGTGTCGACTGTACAGCCCTTTTCCAAAAAAAAAAAAAAAAAAAAAAAGCAATACCTAGAAGAGTCATACATTTCTAGAGATCTGTAAACAGTGGCCGGGCAGCTATCAACTGGGAATTTCTAGTCCTGGAGAGTCTACACTGAGCAGTGGATTATTCTACATAATCCCTTTTAACTCAGGATTCTCTGTAAACTAGAAAACATCTAGATAAGTGAATAATGAGCTTCATTAGCCCAAAACCTGTTGAATTTTCAGCCAACAGGTAAGTAAAAATGTGAAAGTCAGGGCAGTTAATTGAAGCCAATTAACAAGGTTTTGGTCATGTGCCCAGTCACCTTGTCAATTAGCTATTGCAGTAACCACATTTTTGCTGGTGCATAGATAAAAAAAAGACAGGATCGTGTCTGCTGTGTGTTCACACAGGAGTATTTCAGCAGTGTTTCTAGAAGTAGAGTTCCCCATTGGAATTCAGTATTATTTAGTTGCCAAAGGGCAATGCAGAATTTCATGGGAACAGCAGAAAGGTAGGATAACTCTCATATTACCTATTGTGCTTAGGATTGATTGATTGATTAAACTTATACCCTGCCCATCTCCTCTGGGCAGCTTCCAAAAAGATAATTTATATAGACAAAATGGTCATGTATGTTACTCATTCACTTAAAATGCTGAAAAGCAAGTTACTGGGGGTAATTTTCCACCATTACAAGCAATAAGCTCAAACAATGAATCTAAGATGGAAGTTTATCTACTTCTGACCATCTGCACTGAGACAGTGGTTGAAATCCTGTTGCTTGCTAAGTTGCGAGTAAGCACATTTAGTCACTGGAGATTTGGCAAGTCAACTATTCTGTAATTTCCAGATTCAATGGGCCTACTCTAGTTGCAACTTGCTACCCTAAGCAATAACATTCCAGCTGTCTTTTGCTAGATCCTAGTCACCCTTCCCAAATACTTGGAAATAACCTCATATTGGAAATTGGCTCAATTAGCTCATTTGGGATACAAATTACATAATTAGCTAAATTCTTCAGCACAGATATTTTCTAGGAAGTTTTTGAGAATGCTTACATGGGAAGATGCATTATTTTTGCAGTCATCTGAACGTATTGGTTTGCTAGCTGTTCCTCCATGAGTTGGAGTTCCATGCCTCCCCAATATGCCAGGAGTTCCACTTTCAGTCATTTTTTGCATTTCTTCTAATTGCAGAAGATTCAACTGTAGAGGAGAACTGCATCGTGACTGAAACAATGGTGGTGAGGCCTGGTCTTGTGGGCCCAGGGACTGTGGAGTGCAGGAACGGGAAGGCTCGTTTTGGGATTCTACAACAGGGATCTTTTCACTCTCTGCTGATGGATTATAATGCAATGGTTGTGTTGGAAATACTGTCTGTGAAGGAAATCCATTCAAGGCAGTGAATTGAGGCTGCACTGTAAATAGTGCTTGTGAAGAGAAAGAAGGCTGAGCAGAAAAGCTAGGTGGGCCAGGATAAAGTACTTGAGAGATACCATTGTTCATTTGAGGATATACATAGTTTGGGAGCACAAGTGTCACTACCGGAGTCACTAATGGTGCAGGAAACTGTGACAATGGCAAAGCACCTTGATTTCCAGACCCCTGTGATTCATTTAAACCCGAAACAGAAGCTTCAGGACCTTGTGGCATGGTCCCTGTTGGTGGTAAAACTGGAAGTGGATATGCAGGCACAACTGTAGGAAAGGGCATGCCAGGATAACTTGCTTGGGAAGTGTCAGATGGAGACCAGGTAGTAGGATTTTGACCAAGCAAAGGAAATTTGTGAGGTGGTTTGGTACTAGACAAGGTGCTGTCTGAAGAGTCATGTAGTTTATGCCGTTTTGACTTAGACCTCCTGTTCCTCCCACTTTTCTTCCAAGACTGATCTATTCCAGAACCATGCTGCAGTCCATGAATACCTAGAATGAGAAGGAAATTATTAAACAATGTGTTCCTGTGTTTTGTGGTTAAAATAAAATGCACCAGGACACTGCTTTATCTGCAGTGATGGCACCATGTTCATGTTTAGAAGCATTTTTTTCATTATTTCTTCACCTTTTTCCCAGAGGAGCCAGTTTTAAAGAAGTTTCAGTTTTAAATTCAGAGGCTGAAACCACATCTGCCCCTCTCTATAACACAATCTCTAATTCACACACTTCAAAACACTACTTCTAATCTCCACACAAGGCAAAAAAAAGCAATCACACTCAATTGTTTTGTACAAGAGATGCTTACTTTAGTATCTTTAATCCAGAGAAGAAAAAATTCTATGCATCTTTGAAGATGCAACTATAATCCTTCTGTTCTGGTTAACAGACTTCAGCTTCTGAAGGAACACAGAATATATTGCAAGCCTGCAATAATCTAAGTATGTTATTTAAATTATCTTTAGCTAGATACATTAAAATTAACTTATTCTGTTTAACCTAATGTGTTAAAAAGTCAAATAAGTCATATCCCACTCACCCGGATGTCCTTTGAGTTTTTCTTGAAAGTAGCAATTGCAATTATATTGAAAAATATGGAACTTTCTTATTTCTTTGCATTTGTTCAGAAAGCTCTGCTCTTCTTTTTGTGTATGCACAGCAAGCACTTCCTTTGTGAGTCCCAATTTCTTAAATGCCTCTTTCTCCTGGTTCTTTTGTGCAGGGCTGTATTGTGGAACAGCAGGTTGACTCTCACTGGGTTCTGTTCCACCAGGGCCATCTTCCATTATTTCTAAAGTAAGACAAACAATATGTTCAAGTAAAACAATTAAAGATGTCATTCAGTTTTCTCACCATTTTTTTTTTTGCAACAGAACATTAGCATGATTTGTGTGTCCAAGTTTCTTTCACCTCTTTACAAAAAACAGGATGTAGCAATATTTTGAACAAGTTTACAAGAGGTCTATATTTCTTCAAGAAATGGTAAAGAATTCCACCTCATAATAAAGTAGTACAATACCTAATTCAGGTTGTGGTTTTTTGTCTCCAACATGAACTATGGTGCTGCTGTAGCTGCACTGACTTGTAAAAGATACAACACTTTCTGGTTTTCCAGGCAAAGTCAAAGAATTTAAGTGAGCACCAACAACAGCAGAAGCATTTGACTTGTCAGATGTCTCCAACACCGCAGGGCCTATGCAACTTTTGGACCGCTCACTTTCTTCTCAAATATCAAGCAAAAACAAACAAAAATATCACACACAGAAAAGAAGAATAATAGTTCTTAGAGAAATAAAACATGACATCGGAAGAAATATCTTACCCAGTTTTGAGTGAAAACTAAACAGCCCCAATACTTGCACTTGTTTCCTGACATGGTAAGAGATACTGACATATTTTTAACACCTTGCATTCTTTTAACCTCCTAAAAACAGATTTCACAACTATCTGCTGATTTCTTTTCCACTCCGCTTATCTGTCTAGTACCTTTTCATTCACACAGTTCCTATCAGTGTTTTCAAGAACTTTGCTACCTGCTTTTGGTTTGCATGAATTTAGAACTGAGAGAGCAATTTTTATACATTTTAAAAGCAACATGGACACCAATTTATGTGTGCTGCTGCCAGTTTTTAAAAGAAAACCCCTTGCTGAATAAGCATTCTTCCACATAATGTATTTTGCTATAATTTGTACTTAAAATCTTAATGAACTATAATCTAATTCATTTACAGTGGACCCTTGACTTACAGAAAGCTTGACTTACAGACTTTTTGAGTTACAGACTTCTCTGGCCGCAAAATTTAGGTTTGGCTTGCAGACTGAGATTTGACTTACAGACCAGAAAAAAACCAAAATGGAACCAAAACGGGATTAATCGGTTTTCAATGCACTGTAGGTCAATGGAGACTTGACTTACAGACTTTTTGACTTGAGAACCGCCTTCCAATACGGATTAAGTTCTCAAGTCAAGCCCCCACTGTATTGTTTAATGATATAAAGGACATACTACTTGACTATGTGAAAAAATTTGAAATACAATTACACAAGATTCCTAGGCTTGAGAGCTGCTGTAAATTAAGCTGTGAAAAGTTAATTTAAGGACTAAATCACTGCTTTCCCAAACATGTTCCTAATTCCTGCACAAGACATAATACCCACTTGTGGTTGCACCCCTGCATCTCCTCCTCCTGTCTCCTCAGCTTTACAGCTAGTAGCACAAAATTCAAATGTAATCTCTTCACTATGAAATTTTATTCATCTCATTTGCTACTAAAGGGTCTCAGAAACTCATTAAGCAATAATGTATGATTTTTGCAGTACCTGACATTACTGAGGGGTGAAGGGAAAGAGATAACACAGAACTGCCGCTTACGGTGGCAACTACGTGTTATAAGGGAGACCAGTTCACAAGGCAATGCTTGTTTGAATCATTTGACACTAAGACACTACACAGTATGACTTGTTCCAAAATAAGCAAGCACAAGGTTTCATTGTAAATAATTTAAATACCTGTGCATCTTTTAATGGTATTGTCATTCACTTCCTTTGTGCGTGAATCAGGATTCAATGCAACAGTATTTGATACTGGTTGAGATTTTTTCTTCACTGTATCAGGTGCACTGCAACCTTCTAAATATCTGTAAGTGAACACAATTAAAATCTTCAATTTAAAAAAGTAGTTAATTATGCATAATCAGTGTTTTATTAAATGATTAACTGCTTACCTGATAACACTATCTAAACAGCTGATCTGCTGATATGAATACACAGGCTGTTCCTCCCAAGCCAGTTCTTCTGCAGCCAAGCTTCTTTGACAAGAAATTCCAACAGCATCATTTTCAGCTAACTCAGCTGCCCCTTTCCCATGACTACAGTGGTCACTGGGTTTTTCTATGTAGCATAAAAACAGAAACATCTTACATTTTTATACAAGGATCCTTTCACTGTTCCAATTCAATATTCAATGATTCTAGTGATAGGGGGTGATACACCTAGTCATGATAGCAATATTACTGAGGACACAGTAATATTAAACTGTATGCAGAAAATAAATGCCACACAATATGGGAACAGGGCTAAAATGTGCAATTTGATCTCATAGATACAATGCTTCTGGTTAAAAATAATTACATTAATCTGAAATTTATGTTTCCATTCAACTTTTTAAAAAAGAACCAACTTTTATGTCATACCTCCATAAGATTTTTTCTGGTTTTCAAGATTTGCTCTGGAATCAAAGATAGCATGCTCCTCTTTATTCTTGGACACACCCCCATCACTTTGAGACAAGTTCTGCAGTGAAGATTAAAAAACAATCATTTAAAAACCAACAACACCTTGACATAATTAGTAAATGCTTATAAGGGAGAAAAAGGCAGAGATAATGCTTCACTGGTTCACATCTTCAAAACAGAATTCCCCCGGGCCATTTTCTCACTAAATCATTACTATATTACAGTGAAAATCTTACAGGTTTCAGTGTTCTCTGGGTATCTTCATTATTGTTCCCATTGCTATCACTTGATGAAGCTATGCTCATGAGGTGTTCTTGTGATCCATTGCTGCCCAGGCTTCCATAGCCACTCGAACCACTGTTATGTACAGGCTAAATATAAACATAGATACATGCGTCTTTATGATTGATAACAAAGAAACATTTTGCATATATTTTTAACATGAAACAGCTAACAAAGAAATTATTCCTCTTGTTCAATGATTTCAAGATTGCAGCTAGAAATCTATATTTCTCCAGAAATATAATTTTGAAATAAATAGCCTTTTAACAAGATTTACGGATGCCATTTTAAAAATCAACAGCACTAGATAACCAACAGAACAGGTGGCATAGAACATCTGAAAATGGAAGTAAGCTTTGCAGCATCACATTTCAGAGCAGAAACAAAGCAAAGATCCCAATACCATAGTCATAAAATACCACTTCTGTGGATTACTCTTGTAGACTGACTGGCTGTAATGGGATTGGCAAGAACATTTTATCATGATTCAGAACTTTCTTGGACAGAGATTTAAGAAGCACTGTAGATTTTGATTCATTTAAAACTCTATTCACATGAGTCACATGCACAGAGATCATATGAAATTGATGGTTGTTTTTGAGCTCTGATACTCCCGCTGCCATATCTGATGTCCTTTTCTCAAGAGACAAATACAGAGGTTACTTACCTGTAACTCTGGTTCTTTGTGTGATCATCTGTGAAGTCACATTACAGTGGTGCCTCGCTTAACGAGCGCACCGTTTAATGACGAATCCGCATAGCGACATGTTTTTTGCGATCGCTAATACGATCGCATTGCGATGATTCCAATGGGCGAAAATCGCATTGCGATGATCGGTAAGCGTTTCTCTTACCGATCTTTGCATTGTGATGTTCTAAAAACAGCTGATCGGTGGTTCCAAAATGGCCGCTGGAAGAATAAAATGGCCGCCCGCTCCGTTTTCGCGCCCTGCCTTTGCTTATCGGGCAGTGAAAATAGCAGCCGGATGGGGGAATCTTTGCTTACCAGTGAGTTTTTCCCCAATAGGAATGCATTAAACAGAGTTTAATGCGTTCCTATGGGGTTCCCCCCCCCATAGCGACGAATCCGGATAGTGACGTTAATCCTGGAATGGATTAATGTCGCTACGTGGGGCACCACTGTAATGGGTTTAATCTGCACCTGTGCAGAGGTCTCTGGAATATTCTAGAACTTTATCATGCATTTGCCAAGACCACTCCCCTAGTACACGTGGTCCGCCCGTCCTGGTGATTGCCTCAGCTCCTAAGAACAGCCTGCTGCTGCATCAAAGGTGAGACAAACATGATGGACAGAGGGGAGGATGGGCAAGATGTGTGAATTCACAGATGACCACTCAAAGAACCAAAGTTACAGATAAGTAACCTTTCTTTCTTCTTTGTGGTCTCTGTGAATGCACACTAATGGGTGATTAACAAGCTGACTTACCGAAAGATGGATGTCACGGAAGAACAGAAGAAAGTATAACTCTACCAAACGCTGCATCTCACTTAGTCCTGACATCCAGGCAGTAATGGGTGGCAAACGTAGAAGGTGTTGCCTATGTAGCAGCTTTGCAAATGTCTGGGAGCAGTACTCTGTGAAGAAAGGCTGTGGAGGTAGTCAGAGCCCTGGTGGTATGAGCTTTAACACCCACAGGCAGAGGCTTCTTGGCAAGCTGGTATGCCAACTTTATAATTGTAATTATCCAGCGGGAGAATGTCTCAGAGGAATATGAGAACCTCTATGAGGGAGGTGTGGTGTCATAAAAAGTCATTTTGATTAGCAGAAGGAGGACGTCTGTGAAACATAAAATGCAAGGACTTGTCTGACGTCCAACATATGAAAGAAACGCTCGAGGTCAGTCGTCAGTGATGGAAAAAAGGTAGGTAAAATAATAGGCTGGGTGAGGTGGAAGTTTGACACAATCTTTGGGAGAAAGGAGACATCGGGATAAAGACTAACCTTGTCCGGGTGGAATTGGAGAAATGGAGGGTTTACTCAGAGAGCAGCTAGTTCAGAGGCTCTACGGGCAGAGGTAATGGCTACTAGAAAAAGACTTTTAAGGGATAGGAAGCGGTCCGATGTAGTAGCAAGCGGTTCAAACAAAGAAAGTATAAGATGTTGGAGGACAGTATGTAGGGACCGTTGTGGAGGCAGCGGAGGTGCGGGAGAGCGCATACTGGAGACACCTTTAAGGGAAAGTTTTAACGTAGGGTGACGGAAAAGTAAAGTTGCTTAGGAGTCTCAAGGCTGATTTGCTATTATGGTAGAAATGTAAACCTTGAGGGTAAAGTGGGAGAGCTGCTTATGAAAAAGATACAAAAGGAACGCAAGGACTGCCTGAAGAGTTGTTGGTCAGAAGATCACGCTGAAGTGCAAATTTCTTGAATGCAGCCCATTTATAAGAATAGAGCTGTGTAGTAGCAGGTTTTAGGGCATTGGCCAAAATTGTGTTTATTGAGGGTGAACCATGCCGTGAGATGGAGAGTGTGAAGATCAGAGGGGTGAGTCTTGCCTTGATGTTGATTGAGGAGGTGAGAAATAAGGGGCAGGAGAAGATAGTCTGTGAAGATGGATTGGAGCAGGGTGAACCACGGTTGCCTGGGTCACCATGGGGCAATGAGGATAGTGTTGGAATGATCTTGTCGGATTTCGATTATTGTCCTGAGGAGAGGAATGAGTGGGAAGAGATAAATGAGATGTGTGGTCCAATTGGTCATAAGCACATCCCCTAGGGAACCTGGGCGTATGCCTGCCCTTGAGCAAAAGAGAGCGCATTTCGAGTTTTGGGACATGGCAAACATGTCTATGCGGGGTCATCCCCAGAGTTTGCAAAGGTGGCGAAATACAGTCTGGTCTAGAGTTATTCGTGCATTTGGGTGTGCATCCTGCTGAGAGTGTCTGCTATGAGATTGTCTTGAGTGTAAATATGCACTGCTATAAGAAAAATGTGGTGTTCAAGACACCACTTCCGGAAATGAATGGCCAGGAAGAGCAACAGAAGAGAGTATGTACCTCCTTGCTTGTTTATGTAAAACAGTGTAGTGGCATTGCCTGTTGTTACTTGGATGGCCATGCCAAGTATGATGGGCTCAACATCGTGGAAAGCTTTGAAAATGTCTAAGAGTTTGAGGTTGTTGATATGAAGATTCTGCTCGGTGTGGGACCAGGTAGCATGGACATGTAGGCCAGTGCAATGTGCCCCCTATCCATTAGGGCCTGCATCAGTGGTGATTTGAATTGATAACTGGAGAGGTGTGAAGGGTCTTCTGATGAAGAGGTTGGCCGGAGTATTCCACCAGAGGAGTTGGGCAGAAAGTTCGGGAGTAACCTGCAGGAGTTTGAAAAGTGAATCTGTCATAGGATCAAAGAGGGACAGATACCATGCTTGCAGGGAGTGCATTTTTAATCTGGCATGCTGAATGACCGAGGTGGTGAAGCCATGAAGCCAATAAGACTTTGAGTTAGATGTGCAGTGACCAACAAATAAGGGAAGAAGTGCCGGATAAGGGCATGAAGTTTTGTTGCTCTTTCTTGTGGAAGGAAAACTTGCTTTTTGCGAGTCAAGAACTGCGCCTATGTAGGTGACTCGCTGTGCAGGAGCTAGAATAGATTTTTCTTCATTGACTTTATGGCCCAAATCTGCAAGGAGAGAAAGGGTCAGCTGTATGTTTTTTAAAGCCTGAGAGTGTGAGGGAGATAACAAACCAGTCTTCTATGTTAGGGAAGATGGAGATTCCCTGAGTATGTAGGTGAGCTGCCATGGGGGCCATGCATTTGGTAAACACTCTTGATGAGGTGGATAGACCGAAGGGAAGGGCTCTGAATTCATAGGCAGTGGTTCCTATGGAGAATTTGAGAAATTTGTGGTAGTCTTTGCAGATGTGTACATATCACTTATGTGGATGACTGCAAACCAGTTGTTTTGCTGAAGAATGGGTAAGATCCGTTCTAACACGAGCATGCGAAAACGCCTTTGAACGATGTACAGTGGTGCCTCGCATTACGAGCGCTCCATTTGACGACAAAATCGCTTTACGTCGATGTTTTTGCGATCGCAAAAGCAATCGCAAAACGATGTTCCCTATGGGGGAATTTCGCTTTGTGATGATCGGTCCTGTTTCAGTAACAAATCATCGCAAAGCGATGCTTTTCGCACAGCTGATCGGCAGTTTCAAAATGGCCACCGGGTAAACAAAATGGCCGCCCGCTGTTTTCTGGCACGGATTCCTCGCTGCACAGGCAGCGAAAATGGCTGCGCTATGGAGGATCTTCGCTGGACTGTGAGTTTAAAGCCCCTAGGAACGCATCAATCAGGTTTTAATGCGTTTCTATGGGCTTTTTAAAATCGCACTGACGACGTTTTCATTTTACAGCGATTTTCACAGAACGAATTAACACACCACTGTAGCAGTTGAGGTGTAGGAAGTCGAGAATAGGACATAAACCGCCATCGCATTTTGAGATGGTGAAGTAACGGGAGAAGAACCCTAGATCGTCTTCTGACGGGTTGACAGGTGATATGGCGTCTTCGAGGAGAAGAGACAATCTCTTGGTTGAGAACGTCTGACAGTGATATTAGAACTGTTCTTGGTGGTGGTGAAAAAATGAATTCTATTGCATAACCCATGGCGATAATAGCAAGGACCCAAGAATCGGTGGTAACAGATGCCCAAGATAGAAGATGGGCTGAAAGACGAGTGGTGCTGGGTGGGGAGATGAGGTAAGTGGATCTGAGGAACAGGAAAGTCAAAGGCTCTGGTGTTTTTTTTTTCAGGATGACGGAAGGATTGTTTGGGGTGCTGACGTTGTACAGCGTGTCTAGGCTGAAATGAAGACAATGACTGTGGAAGGTATCTTTTTGTCAGAGAATGGTCTGGTATGTTGATAAGAGTAGGGGCGATGCCACTGATATTGTTGGGGTCTGCAGTATGGTTAGGTATTATAAGTACGTGCTGTTTTTCTCAATTTCTGCAGGTTGCCCAATATTTCGTCAGTCTTGTCATCAAAGAGCCCAATGCCATCAAAAGGCAAGTCTTCAATTCTCATGCGAGCATCGTCTGAAACGTGGACTGAATGGAGCCAAGCATGTCTACGAAGGGCTACAGCGGTAGCCATGTGTTTGGATGCTGCTTCAATGACATGTTGGGCAGTGATCTACACTTGATGAACAAGTGCCATAGCCTCTTGATGAAAAGCGAGGCTGCAAGCTTTATACTTGCCTGTGGTTGATTGGAGTGATGGGAGAGCCTTATTCCAAAGTTAATGATGATAGGCACCCACAGCTGCAAGATAATTAGAAGCACGGAGGGTAAAGGAGGCGAGGGAATAAACTCTGCGTCCAATAATATCCAATATTCTCCCTTCTTTGTTATTTGGAGTTACATTACACCGATTCCTTGCTCTGTTTTGGGTGGCATCGACAATAACTGAATTGGGAGGTGGTGTTCTGAGAGAAAAGCAGTGTTGTCCCCATGTGTTTTGTATAAATTCTCCACCTTGCGAGACATATATGGGACAGAAAATGGTTTGGACTGTTTGGCTGATGAGATTCTCCCCAAGCAGAAAAGGCAAAGATTGTGACCATCTGTGAGAGGGATCTGGTTGGAGGATGAAGTGCACCTTTCAAAAGGTTGAAGAGGGGCCATAAATGGCGGGGGGAAGGGGGCGATAAGGAGAGGGAGAAATAGTTCAAAAAGTTACAATTTTTATCTCTAATTCTATTATAGTTTGAAAACGAAAGCAGTGGCAAACAGAGAGCTTGACGAGAGGAGAAACCTCATTGGTGACAAAATGGAACTGAGGCAATCACCAGGGGGGCGGTCCTGGCGAACGTGTGGTAAAGTTCTAGAATATTCTAGAAAACTTTGCGCAGGCACAGATTAAACCCATTAGTGTGCATTCACAGAGACCACGGAGAAGAAGCATTCTTAGACAGAATTCTGGCCTTTGTTGCAAAAGATGTTAAACATTACGTGTCTGCTGCTCCTTAATGGTACTGAAGTGATCAACTGTTTTGCTTTAATGCTTTTATTTTAATCTTGTATTTTATGTAGTTAATTATTTTAACTATCTGAGTCCTGGAAAGGAGGGACACAATTTAACTAAACGTAACACTTCTAAGCTGCAATGACCAAGAATGTGTGTGCTGTTATTTTGAAGATTTAGACTTTCTTGAATAGGTGTTTATGAACATCTGCCTCTCACTGTATATCTAGAGGTTCAAGTAAATTCAGTTTTATTTTGTTTCAGTATAAAGAGAGTATACCTGTAGCAATAACCGATGTATTTGCTCTGTAATTTCCTGAATGTTAGGATGAAGATTTTTTTCTTCTTTGTAGTGGGGTATGAACACATCTTCATTCAAGGGACCACTGTAAAAATCATTAATATGATTCAGAATGATATATGAATTTATTTAAATTATATCAGCCCTGTTTTTTCTATTCCATCTACAAACTTTTAAACTAATAAAATGTTCAGGCTTACTCACTCCAAATATGACTTCTTCATTCTGAAGTAAATCTTGACAACATTGGAAAGATCTGCAGCACTTATAAGTGTCTTGTTAAAAGCATTTACAACAGCACATACTTACAAGAGCAAATGGAATTATTATTTTTGTCACTGTCCAACTCAATAGATTTATTCAAAAATATGAATAAAAGTAGATGCCATTTACTTATGTCTGAATGTTGACTTCTCCCCTATTCCACAAATGTTTCCATATTTCCTGTAATGACCTGTACTAAAGATGCAGAAGCTAAAGGATAATATCCCATATGCTGCCAAATATTAACCGACCACACATGAAAAATACCAAAGAATTTTCAGCTTGTGATGCACATAATGAATCTGACCTATGATGTAGCATATGCACATTAAACTTGCTTGCATCAAGATCCAGCTCATTTGCATATTACAGTTGCCAAATGAAGGCCACTGCTATAGAATCATACTATTTGCTATGGATGTTCCACATTTAATATAGCCTCTATGTCATCATTTAAAATGAAAGACAGCACTTTTGCTGGTGTAGTTTTTCAAGTGACTTGTAATACCTGCATCAGATGAAGTGTTACATCATACAACCACTGCACAGTGAAGCTGCCAGGGAGGCTTCCTGTAGTGGCATCCATGGTGATGTGACCATCAGCTTTTCCATGGAGAAGCTGACAGCCAAAGAACAGAAGCCGCCATTCACACAATTATTAAATAAATGGCTTTTTAAAGCATATGGAATGAGGCTTTTCCTCCCATTCTGTAGCCCCATTAGGACTTTCTGCAAAACTGTTATGCACATTGAAAGAAAACCTGTCAAATAGCAGGTCTTGGAGGCCTGATCCATACTGCAACCTCACTATAAAGCAAAAAATTAAGATCTTCTCCTATGATCCACAAGGTTTCTGATTTGGATTTGGCCTCTAATACCTATTTGTTAAAAATAATTCACACAGTACTGTGAATGGAATATTGCCTTAGAGAAATATTCTTACAGAAGGAAGAGAAAATGAGTACTTCTATCAAGAGTAACTATGCAAAGAATTGTGCAAATCAGGTTTCATCCTATGTTTCAATGTAAACGTGCCTCTCACAAAGAATTTCACAATGTGAAACATTCTATTTGTGTTACCTTTATTTACTTACGTTCTAACTTTGTGTCTTCCAACTATAAATGAAATTTTTCGACTCCAAGGATTGATAAAACTAGACCAGCTAGTATCCAGAGTAATGTATTCACCATTTCTAGTGCAGAACCTGATTGGTGAATAGTCAAATGGCTGACCACCACACTGAAGTACTGAAACAAAAAAATGAGGCAAACTTCAAATTTAACAGAACAGAATGTATAAACTTAACTGGTAAAATGATAAACTAAAAACTGGACACTATGCAACCATTAAACAGGAGCCAACTAACAATATTTCAGATTTCACCTTTTCAGTAACCAAGCATTAGTATTTACCAAGATTTAGAAGTGAAACACTTGGAAGCAAATTACAGATTGATCTGAATTTGAAGACTGAAAGCCTTGACTAAAAGATATTGGCAAAAGATATACAAAGATATACAACCACTCCATTCATCTGAACAGTGCTTAGGCACACAAAAGCTTATCAAGAATTAACTCTAGTTAGTCTTATAGGTGCTACCCAATTATTTCTGGCTGGAATCCCGTTGCTTCGGATGGCATGTTACACTAGAGTAACTCCACTGAATCAGTGGGGACATGGTGAGTCAACCTTCCCATATGTTCCACTGATTCAAGAGGACCTACTCCAGTTGTGATTTTCTCTGCTAAGCAATAGGATTTCAGCCATTAACATGCTTTCCAGATGGTTTGCTATACCATCTGTATAGGTATACTGTACCAGGTTTCATTAGATTGCATAATGGTTCAAGCACTTTAAGGCTTTGTAAGTTATAGTCACCAGCTGGAACTGTCCATCAAACATTTCAGTAAGCCAGCATGCAGCCTACAGCCCTGGGCAAATACCTATAACATAACAAACTATCATATTATGCAGTGGCTGGTACCCACAACATATCATTGTCTTTAGCTGATTTTATCAGTTGCTGATTGATTTCTGTACATAACTGAATGTATATTTCTGTTCAGTAAATTCAACTGAACTTAATACTTAATCAAACCATTGGCTGATCCAGTTGAGCCTGCCCTTATGAAGATCTTCATCAGCACCTGCCACTAATGCTTTGAACTGGAACTACTAGGGAATAATATGGCCAATACTAACATGAGTACACGCTTTTTTTGGGGGGGGGCAAGTTGTTTGCATAACTATGTTGTAAACTACCCAGAGAGTACACTATCTTGCACAAAATCCTGTATCTTTATCTTGTCTGTTAGTTTACCTCAACCATTTCTCATGTGGACATTCACTGGGAAATAAAGCCAGAAAGCCACAGAACAAAAATATGAAAAAGCTCGGATTATATCACTTCAACATGACTCTGAGTCTCCAAAGAACAGGACCATAGCTGGGGTCAGGGGAGAAGGAGTTAATGTATATTAAAAAATCTGCAATAGGTGAAGACCACCTTTTTAAAAGAGGCTTTTAACAACCAAGTGAACAGTGAATAGTTTTGCTTTTGGTCACTGCACATTATTACTATTTTACATTTATTTTAATATGTTTTATACTGCTTTAACTAATCACTTTAATACTATAATAGTTTGATTATGTTTAAATTGTTTTTTTATTTTATAACTTGTAAGCTAACTTTGGTTCCTTCACTGGGGGAAAGGCAGCATAAAAGTGTAATGAATAAATAACTGAACCCATGAATGAATCAATTAACTGTTATCCAACACTCTAATAAGAGTTCATCCTTTGCTGTGTTGATTTTCTTTATCAAATGGCATGAAAAATGCACCATTCTACAGCAGAACCTACTTTTTTTATGAATCGCTAGCATTAATGGTCTGTCCTTAGGATGAAGATGTACTAAGATGGAAGTTCCAATTAAGTCCTGAGGCAAGTATCCCAACAGTGGTACTGCTCTTTAAAAAAGAAAAGAGAAATTTCAAATAATCACAAAGCAAAATACAATATATGTACATAAAATCATTTAAATTTCATTTTGACTACCCTGAAGTAAGAACAAAGTAAAAGTTTCTGGAACTGACTCACACTTACTTCTTCAAAGCAAAAGTAGAAGCAAAAGATATAAACATAGGCAGAAGACAATATTTTCTACATCATTACAGAACAGGCACATGCAAATACATAGTAACACCTCCTAAAAACAGTCTTTGTCAGCCTAGACCTCTCTAGGCATATTGGATTGCAACAGCCATCCTTAGCAGACATAGCCAACGACTCTGCTGACAATTATGGGAATTTTTGGGTAAGCACAACTGTAAGCGCAACAGGTTTTGGAGGCTATCACAAACATCAAGTATGCAGGGAAGTTGCTCTCACATCTTATTACATGTCTACCCAACTCCTTTTCTTGCACAGATTCCAATTAACATGGAACTATGAATTATCTCAATCAATAAAGGGTGAGAAGACAATTGAGAGATCAATCTGCAGGACTAGCATTTAGTTTTCAAAAACATTTCAAGGTAAAAGAAAGGTTACTTACCCGTAACCATGGTTCTTCGAGTGGTCTGTGAATTCACACAAATGGGTCTTGTCTGTGTCTGCACTGACATTCTCGGAATATTCTAGAGCTAAAAGTAACAATTTTATGGGCTGATCTCCCATAAGACACATGCTCTTCCCACCCAAGATTCCCCTCAGTTCCTAAAGTTTGTCCGCCGGGCATGAGAGTTATATAATAAATAAGATACCCGTGACGGACAGAGGGGAGGATGGATGGGTAATGTGAATTCACAGAGGACCACTCAAAGAACCATGGTAACAGGTAAGTAATCTTTCTTTCTTCTTCGTGGCCTCTGTGAATGCACACAAATGGGTGACTAGCAAGTTTCACTTATCGGCCGGTGGGACGTCATGGTAGGAAGAATGCCAACACAGTTCTGCCAAATCCAGCACCATTGCGTACCCTTACATCTAGCTGGTAGTGCTTCACAAAGGTGGATGGCATGAATCGTGTTGCTGCATGGTAGATGTCGAGAATTTCAGTTCTATGCTGGAATGCTGCCGAGGTGGACAGCGCTCTGGTGGAATAAGCTTTAAGATGATTAGACGGCGATTTACCTGACAGCCGATAAGCCATAGATACAGTTTGGACTATTTATCTGGAGATGGATTAGGATAAAGCTGGACCTTTGTTATGAGGACTATGACAGCATACAAAAAGCCTGTTAGTTAGTCTGAAGGTCCTGGTAGTGTCCAGACCAAGTGCCTTACGTCAATATTATGGAGCATGTGCTCTAGAGGAGATGGTGGCGATTGAAGAATGATGGTAATATGAAGCATAGATTAATATGAAAATCTGAGTTGATTTTGGGTAAGAATGAGACATCAAATTATGAAGTCACTTTATCAGGGAAAAATTGAATAAAGGGTGGATCGAATCACAGGCCGGCCATTTCACCAGCTCTCTTGGCAGATGTGATAGCCACTAGGAAGGCTGTTTGAAAGTAGGTAATTTTGTAATTGAAGATAAAATTGGCTCAAATGGTGGGCGCATTAGTGCAATTAGAATGATCTGTCAACCATTGGGGAATGTGTTTACATGGAGGACGGGTGTTATTGAGTCCTCTGAGAAAGTCTTTGACAGTAGAGGGAGACAAAAGCCCTGCTGGATCAGAATCATCTGGTTGATGGGCAACAATAGCCGATATATAACATTTTAAAGTGGAAGGGAATAGGCCAAATTAAAAAAGGTGGAGTTTTCAGAGAGAGCTGGTAAAGTAGTTATTTGTTTCTGTATATTTAATAAAAGATATCCATTTATTTACATATAGACATCAAGTTGATGGCTTTTGAGCTTGATCGAGCACAGATCTCAAATTGGAACTATGCTTCACACTCTCAAGTTCATGGACGATAGATCCAGATGGTAGACCATCCCTCCTTTCAACAACAAGAGGTCAGGGACCAGAGGGAACTGAAACGTGTCTGTTGACATCGATCTCAGACAGGTGAACTAGGGTTGCCTTGGTCACCATGGAGCTACAATAGTGCCTCGCTTGACGATAATCTGTTCCAGCAAAATCACTGTACAACAAAATTGTCGTGAAGCGAAATAAAAAATCCCATTGAAAAGCATTTAAAACCATTCAATGCATTCCAATGGGCGAAATACCTCACTGTCCAGCAAAGATCCTCCATAGGGCGGCCATTTTTCAGTGCCTGTCTTGTGAATAATCAGTCCTGAAAACAGCAGGAAGCCATTTTGAACAGCGGGTGGCCATTTTGACAGCCGCTGATCAGCTGTTTTAAAATAATCGTTTAGCAAAAAATTGATTCTCAAAGCAGGGAACCGATCATCGTAAAGTGAATTTTCCCTATCTAAACATCGTTTTGTGATCGCAAAAACATCATTAAGCAATTGCCTCGTCAAGCGGGGTAATCGTTAAGCGGGGCACCACTGTATTAGGATTATGTTCTTCCCTACTTTCCAGGACCATTGCCATAGCCCTTGAATCCATGGGAGGTTTCTCTTTACATCTGAAATTTAGGGTATCTGAGATTAAAATTGCCAACCCTCCTTTCATCCTTCCTAGACCCTCTCCCCTTCTGCCTTTCACCCAATAGTTATTGTGCCCTTGCAGGGTGATTTCTTGGTTGGTCCAAGTCTCTTGGATTGCTATAATATCCAATTTCTGGCGGACGAAGGGATTATCATGTGAGTTTGTTAAACAGCGAAACCACCCTGCAACATTCCATGAGAGTATCTTAAGCGTGGAGGCTAATATTTGGCATTCTGTTTTATCAATGTTATCCAGGATTTTTTCGGCATCGTTGAATAGGATTATGTTCGATTAGGAATGATGGAGATGGATGACTGTCTGTTTAGTAAGCTGTATCGGAGGGAAGAGTTATGGCAGATCCCTGCCCAATTTCATATGAATGAGTCCCCGATAGGAGTTCTTGTCCGCATCTGCACAGGAACACTCGACCCTGCATTTGCCACTCGAACCCAAAGCAAATACATCGATGGTCGGTACTTCCCAACGGTGACGGAACCGAACTTGCAGTTTCCTGGATTAGTGATCCTCCACAGGGTCGAACAGCCAAGGGTACCACAAATAGAGTGGCTTGAGGCTCAGTCTAGTGTGCTGTAGCACTGAAGTTGTAGAGGTCATGAGTTCGAAGAGATGTTGTACGTGACGGGGTGGAATCAGAGCCCAAAGTAAAAAAGCGGATTGATCTCTTTGTATGATTTTTTTAAAAAATGGAATGAACGCTCTGGCCTAATCAGAGTTGAAGATCGTTCGATATAGAAACATATAGTATGCTATAGTACCAGATGAAACTTTGCGTGATGTATGTTGAGACCCAGGTTTGGAAGGGCGTTGAGCATGATAACTTGTTATATTGGCATCGTGATATGATTTTATTACTATCAGCCAGTCTTCGATGTTCAGGTAGATGTTCATACCCTGAAGGGAAAGGTTCATTGGAACTGAAGCCCTGCACCTTGTGAAAGACTTTGTATTGCTGAAAGACCGAATGGTAGTGAAACCTTAGGAATTTCTGATAAGATGAGTAGATTGATATGTGGAAATATGTGTCCTGAAGATCGAGTCTCACTGTGAGAGAAGAGGGATAATGGTGTCGAGAGTCAGAATCCTAAAGTTACGATCAAATAAATGTGTTAAGGTTTTTGAGATCAAGGATTGGACGGATGCCTCCGTCCTTTTTAGGTACATAAAAATATAGGAGTAGAGGCCATTATATAAGCCTGATGCTGGAACTTGAATTATGGCATGATTGTCCAGGAGGGCAGAGATCTCTTCCTGGAGGGTTTTAGAGAAAGCAGTAAGTATAATGTTTCTCAAAGGAGGATCAGAGTCAAATTGTAGAATGTAACCTTGATAGATGTGGTGACATTCTTGTATGAAACCAATTGTCTGTAAGACTGGAACCCGATATGTTTGAAAGGACTATGGGTAGAACTGAGATTGTCTAGACTGAAGTTTGGAAGGATGAAAGGGCTGTTGGTTCATATATGATTTAGCTGTTTCATTATTTTGTGTAAATTTTTCATGGTGTCACCAGTCTTTAGATTGAAAAGACTGGTACCATCTAATGGAAGATTTTAAATCCTGGCCTTTGTGTCCTCTGATAAGTCAGTGGATCTTAACCAGGCATGCCTTCTTATCAATACTGAGCATGCCATTGAGGCTGTTTTTGCTGCATGTCTAGCAGCAATCCTGTGTCACTTTGCTAGAGCCATGGCCTCAGCATGAGCATTTATAAGTTTCGTTTTGATGGATTCAGGAGCGGAATCTAAGATGGGTAAAATCTTTGACCATCATTGCCCTTGGTAGGCGCCTATTGCTGCCTGGTAGTTGGCTACACGGAGCAGAAACGACCAAAGAGAATAGACATCCCTGCCAAGGACATCAATCTTTCTGTACTCTTTAGTAGGGTTCATGGGGGATCACTGATCAGCTGAATGAAAGGAAGAGGTGTCCAATTTAGAGGGGAAATGACCAAAATCTGAGAGAAAAAACTCTGTGAAATTGCTCTATTTCTCCGTAGAACCTTTCAGCATGCCAGAAAAAAGGAACTAAGAGGAATCTTGAGTGGGAGGAGCATCTGCCTCATGGGAGATCAGCCCATAAAATTGTTACTTTTAGCTCTAGAATATTCCAAGAACGTCATCGCAGGTGCAGACAAGACCCATTTGTGTGCATTCAAAGAGGCCACAAAGAAAAAGGACAATTTATCTTCTCCAATTCCTAACTGAATAAGAAACAACCCTGTGTCACAAAACAGATCCAGTGCCATTGAGGTTCTGGTTATTTTATTTTATTTTTATGTAAACATCTTTGTTTCAACAACTGTAAAGGTAGCCCAAACATATATTCTGTCTGCTTTAATATTTAATAGCAGAGCTGACTGATTGTGGAAGTTGCAGGTTTTTCAAAAATACTTTTCAAATTATAATTATAGCTAAATATAGGGCCATAAATAATTTAAAACAGGTACACATAGCCATTTCAGTGCTTCACCTTTCATCTACATCTTGGAACAAACAACTTGGTGTATGTGTGGTTGTAAAGACTCTTTTACTGGGAGGAATTCTGGGTGCTGAAAGAAAAGAAAGACAAAGTTTAGTGGAATTTTTAAAATAAAAACAATATACAGTAATGAATTAGACTAATATTATTGATCAGAGTTATCAACTTGGTCACATTCAATTAGTCACCTATCAATAGAAAAGATCAACTATGCAAGCTCCAACTCCTGGTTTCTTTTAGTTTTTTGGAATAGTGATAATCTTAATAGGTACACAGCTAGCAGTTCATTAAAATTATTTATTACTTTGCAAAAATTAATTGTAAGAAACATAATTAAAATCCTTTTGCAGGATTATATGCAACGAGAGAATGAAACACCACCTAGGAATAGTCTAGATGGTAAGTGTATGTGCACATTGGCCTTTTGGGTGCAGCTTGATGCAGAGGGGCAGGGACATTATTTTTGCCTGTGCTGGACAGTCACTCAGAGGCAGTGCCCCAGTTTCTCTGCCCTGCCTCTTCTAAGCGCTGCCTCTGAATGGGCGCCTGCCGAAGGAGGCTGAGCTGGGAAGTGCCAAACCTATGTTTGGCTGAAAACAAATTGGCACAAACTGCTGAACCAGTAGTTCGTGCCTATTTCTAACAATTACTAAGGAGGAAGTCTTACTAAAACCAACAGGACTTTTTTTGCAGCATACTGAACTAGCCTTAGTGCCAAATAAATATGATCAGCAAAATAGTCTGGAGACTCATTAAAATAATTCTCCTCAGATGCATGTAAGTCCTTACAAAGTAAGATGGCCTCTCTCTAAATGATTCTATATTATATCATAAGGCTAGTACAGTGGACCCGTGACATACACATGGCTCCACCTGCGTACTTTTTGACTTACAAACTTCTCCTTGCCACAAAATTTCACTTCGACTTGCAGCCAGAGAATCAACCTAGGGACTGGATCCTGGCCTCCCCCTTATAGTCTTTAGGCCGCCGATCGTGCCTTCGGATGCCTTCCAGGTCTTCTCTGCTGCCATGGGAGGCATCTCGGAGCCCTCCCCCCCGGCCGATCGTGCTCTGGAGCCACAATCGGCAGCGAGGGGGACCTCCGGAGGCCTTCCAGGGCTTCTCCACCGTGATGTAAGGCTTCTCCGAGGTTGTCATCCGCCGCCGCCTCCAGCTTTCCCAGGATACACCAGGCCTACCAGGGGAGGGCTTCCCCTGGTAGGCCTAGTGTACCCTAGGAAAGGCGCCGCTGTCGGACGACGACCTCCGAGAGGCCTCCCATGGTGGTGGCGGAGCCCTCGGAGGGCTTCAGCTATGGCAACGGCGGCAGCCGGGGACCCCTGTGAGGCCCCAGGCAGTGGTGGGGAAGCACTCGAAGGGCTTCGGCAGCGGCGATGGACCCCTTTGGACTGGCAAAGTGCTGCTTTTTGCATTTATTTTCTTTTTTTTGGTGGTGGGATATTTTTTTCTTCGCCCAGTTATGGATTAATGGGTTTTCAGTGCATTCCTATGGGAAATGGACCCTCAACCTACAGACTTTTCGACCTGCGGCCACCATTCCAATATGGATTAATTCCACTGTACTGTCCATTCATACAGATGCAAAATGCTTCCTGATGTCTCACTCCCAAAACAAAGTGCCTTCCGCTTTCCCTTATCTTCCCAGCTCTCTATTCACCTACTTCACTCTCTCCTCCTTTACCTCCTTATTTTACCCATCTATGGGGCATGAAGGGTAGTGACTGGCAACCAAAAACATCCATAAGGAAACATCACACAACATGCACATGGCATGCATGTGGAGATCAGCACAAAGTAACACAGTACTGAATTACAAGCAGATCATGTACTGGAGGCACAACAAAAATATACCAATACTTAGTGGTGGTGTAAAAGAACCAGGGAAGCAAGGATTTTGTCCTGCTCTTGACACTGTTGGCACTAGTTTCAGCTCAAGGCCATATGAATGCTGGGATGCAGTATTGATATAATGAAAGAATCAAAGAAAGCTCACAGTACATGCTCACTGTGGATTAACTTATAAATACCTTTAGATAGATAATTACCTTCATAACCAGAGTGCACCTTTTCTGCAAGTAAAACACAACAAAGCTGATCTTCTGCATCTTGCACTTTAATAAGGTATGGTGTCATACGAAATGGGTGATAGGAGATCTCATTTGCATGCTTTCCTGCACTAAAATAAAAAGGTCAGGACAAATCAGCTCTTGTATTTTCCACAGACTTCTAAATATAGTGACTCCTCTGATAATTGGTCTAAGCGATGGGCTGGGACTAAAGGTCTGTTTCCATTCACATACAGATGATTTTGGCTTCCTTCCTACGAAAACACCTCGTCTGTGTGCTCTGAGAACTCATCTACCAAAAGTGACATTTCAAGAGCAGTAAGGGACAGTTAAAAGAAAACTGACAACCTATGTCTTTAGCTTGTGTCAGAGCCATTTTGTAACCTAGCCATTATGTCAATATTTAAATTAAATAGCTCAAAAACTATTTTCTGTAGTCTGTCCTAAAACTGTAGCGTAAGAACTGTTTGGTTTTTAGTTAAGATTCCTGAATTTATCTTATAAGTTAAGCAATTAACATAAACTTGGCAGATGGAAGCGAAACATTGTCTGAAACCTCCAGTTGACTTAAAATGTCTCACCTGATGCGGCAGAAAAAAGATTTTTCCTCCATGCACTCTTGTGTGGCAGATTCTAAGACAAAAAAATTTTACAAGAACTTTGTAAGGTATGATAATACAAAGTAAAATGTGCAATGAAGGTATTAGGAAGCTATCCTGTATGATTACACAGCTTGAAACATAATGTAAAGGTTGAAATATGGGCACAGGAATTTTAACAGGGGTCACAGAAAAGCTCATTCTGGCCAGGGAAAAGTATATGCTGGGGTAAAGTGCTGGCCTTTTCATGAAAGAGAATGGATTGGGCTTTTCTAATGAAACAGTGGCTTCCTGTTGAATCCAAAGCCTGATCTTCCCTGTTCCTGGAATGCTCCATTTTGAGACTTTCTGCTACCTATGGAGAAAGTGGTTGCTTTTCTGCTACCTATGGAGAAAGTGCTTTTCTCTACTGCCAGAAAGCAAGCAATACATCATCTTCATACATTACAGGCATCAATACTATGGGAAAATTTGATAAAGAACAAAAGGATCTATTTTCTATATGGGAATTGCTGGGGGAATGGAGCAAATTATCCCCCCCCCAAATAAGCTAACCACAATTAAGAAAACCTCATACTTTGTCTATACAGTGGTGCCTCGTATAACGAGTGCCCCGTTTAACGATGAATTCGCATAGCGATGGCAAAAATGCCATCGCTTTTGCGATCGTATAACGAAGGTGCCTATGGGGAAAAATCGCTTTGCGATGTTTTCCCCATAGGCATCATTTTCCCCCAGCTGAGCGGCGGGAGCCTCCAAAGGAGCGCTCCCACAGCTCAGCTGGAGGAAAATGCCTGTGGTGGCCTTGGAAGGACCCTTCTGGGGGGGCCCCGGCGGGGGGAGGGTGGGGGGATCCGATGCCTGTCAGGCACCCTGGGCTCGGATCCCACCCGCTGCCGCTTACCCAGCCTTGGGTAACCAGCGGCGGGTGGGAATCGAGCCCGGGATGCCTGAAAGGCATCCGGATCCCCCCGCTCTCCCACCCTCCCCCCGCGGCTTGGATCGGACCCGCGGG